TTTCCCATTGTTATTTTGATAAATCTAAGTAGAAACTGGAGCCATGCGGTTTGTAACCAAATACCCGCCTGAAGGGCAAAATGAACCCAGGACCAATCAGGCTATCAATCGAGTGGACTAGCTTATGGTCTTCTATAACTCTCAAAATATTATAAACTGTATACGAACCAAATTTCTTTAACTGGACTCTCAAGTCAAGGAAATGATTGTGCAAAACACTTAACACTTTTTCTACCTGTAAACAATGGATGTGCCAATACGACTGCCTGAAGTGTTGGTACATCCTGTTTCTGCTGTATCCGCTAGGAGAAATATTTTATCATTTCTCAACATTGTCCTGTTGTGTAATTATATATCACTTGAAGCTTACAGTCTATTCCTCAATTGATTGATTTGATTTGATTTGATTCAAGAACCGACATCACAGCACTCGGGGCATTCCCATAAGTGCTCCGTCCCCATCTTCAGCAGCTAGCGAAGAGTTCCATTACTAATGGTGCCAGTTGCATTCTAATTAAACGTCCGTCTTGCCTTTCCCGTGAGCCTCGAGCATCTGCCAGAACCTCGCGTCACTCCCCGCTGCATCACTCTCACCAGACTGTGGTGATCCATCTGCTCCTCCGAACTGTACACGCTCTCCCACAAGGCACTAACCACGTTTGCCGTATCATGTATCAGTATTCCACCAAGTTGTGCAGAGCCAGCCAGTCTGTCTGCCTGTTAATTTCCCAACACACCTGTGAAAAAATCCAGACAATACTCCTCACTCGTGTCCTCCGCAGCGAAGCATGCCACTCTGCATGAAGCATACCTGTTCTGATCTTCCTCAGCATGCTTTCTGAGTCAGTTACAATCACAATGTTATACAATGTGCAATCATTTCCCTATCATGGACAGAATCCAATCCAGCACTACTGGCTTCCCTCGCCAACTTTCGCTTTAGGCTTTCTCTAGGGTGTCCTCATTTTCTCAATCCATCTGCTTCCCATTTCATCGACTGTTCGGTGATTCGCTGCTCATTTTAAGGGTGTGTCCAATGTAGAGCCATTTTTCTCTGTCTTAAAACGGTTTATACCAGTAGTTGCCCAGACTTTTCTCTTTATTTCTTTACCCCTCTTGGATTCATCCCATTTTATTTTCATCAATTTTACTCAAGCATGTGTTTTCGAATGCATTTAACTTTCTTTCAATGTCTTCAGTGGTTCTCAAACTTTTACTGACACGTGTTGACAATTTGAAAATAGAGGTTAGAACTGACAATTAGGCACCGGTATCTAACACTGTAATAAGTCTAGATGTTTCTATATATTTTATAAGCTGTTAAAGAGCTGCTGATGCCTTNGGTTTTAAATCCTACGAAAAATTCCCCTTAAAATGAATACTGAAAAATCCGCCAACTTAGACCCCCCCTGCCAATTTTTAAAAACAGAAAAATGGTTTGATCATGGTCAAATGCCCAAACAACTACAACCCCGGTGCGCACATGAATTTCGAATGAAAGCAATTCATTGAAAAAAAAAGATAAAATGGTTTGACAATAAGACTTTACATCGCCGGAATTAGTAGGATTGCTGCCCACCAGAAATTTGATCCAAATGTTCCTCCCACAACGCTTAAAATGCAGAAGGGGAAAACTGGGGGTGGTGAGAACTCTTGATTTTATTTAAAGATCATTTTTAAAAAACTGCATCACCCAACGGGTTTAGTCTTTTACGGGTCCCCAAATTAAAATTTCTTGGGGGTTTTAAAAGCGAAAGATGTGCCCTTTTGGCTTGACAATTGGTTTTTTGAAACCCAAAGGGGTTTTAACCTTGGGGCAGCATTTAAAAGGGGAGAAAAGGGGAAAGGATATATGTATTTGAAATACGTTTAAATTTTAAGATCCTGTTTCCATACCATAGGGGAAATTTTGGAAAATTGGGTACACCCCCTATGTTTGGTGAGTCGCTGCTGGTTTCTTCTCAGAGTACGTCCAATATAGAGCCATCTTCTCTGTCTTAAAACTGTTGATACCAGCAGTTGCCCAAAAGTTTCTCTTGATTTCTCTACCTCTCTTGGATTCATCCCATTTTATGTTGATCAATTTTCCTCAAGCATGTGTTTTCCAATGCATTTAACTTTCTGTCGATGTCTTTAGTGGTTCTCAAACTTTTACTGACACGTGTTAAATTAGAAATAAGATTAGAACTGAAATTAGGCAACGGTTCTAAAATTGTTTAAGTATAGAGTTCCATATTTTATTCAAACTGTTAAAGCTGCTGATGCCTTGCCAACCCGTGTCATAAACTGCTGTAGGTCACCTAATTTTACTTAATCCTAAAATATCTAATTCGTAGCTCCAAATTCCTTCTGCTTCCTGTGCGGATTTTTGTTGGCGTCATCCTAGTCCTAACATTCTGAAAAAAACGTATCCTAGTGTTCTCAGCGTTTTGGTTGAGATTGATCAGACCGAAACATGGAGACGAAGAAGAAAGAAACAACTGGCGGTCTGTTCTTACTGGCTCGTCATCTGCCATGTTGCTTATCTAGTTACTCTGGTGGCAAGATCATCTTAAGAAGCAGGCCCGACATTAGATAGCTTCGCTGACCGAGTTCATCATACAGTCTAAAAATAGCATCTTATATTACACCGACTGCTAATTAAAAGTAGACCGTTGCGCAAACCCGTTTTAATTATAAGTTATCGGACTTGACATGAGCGAAGTGCTCTCCTCCTTTACTTTTCCTTTACAAATTATTCCAAGAAAATTGCAGTTAGTACAATTACCAGTTATACGCGGCCGAGTCTCCACTGCCTGTCTGTAGCCGACATCTTTGTTTGGGGGTGTAGGTTAGGAAGGTTGTGAGTCTGAGGATTTGGGGCTGCATGGCTGGTGCTGATGCCATAGACTTTGCAGGTAAGCGTTTTTGTCCCCGATACACACAAATTGATTACCTTTACGAGATGTCGAACCTGGCTCTTTCAGATAACAGCCCAGTATAATTAAACACTTTGACGTCTGCTCCTCTGTGTGGCATAGTTGATCCTAACACGGTATCGTACTCTTTATAAAGTGATGCCATATTCCCAACCTGTTCTAAGTCATTGCTACTGTTTTATTCTTTAAAAAAAAAAAGAATTATTATAAGATAAATCGTCCCCTTGTGGGTCGCAATTTTTCGTTATTTTGAAGCACCACTCTGGTCGTTGCCAGGGGCCCAAATATAACCTAGTGGTTGAACGAGGTTTCCAGGAACTTTCCACGGGTGATCCTCATCCTCACGGTGGCACTTTGTGTTATCAGGTGTTTATCGCTCTGTGTGAATGTACTAACTTACTTCTTAAAAAAAAAAAAGACGGAAGGAAAGAAACTGAAAAATCTGATGGTAAGGCCCCAAGCCAGGCAGATCACCAAGGAAGAAAAGAGTACCGTTGGTGGATTATAACTAATAAGACAACATACTTGCGATTTCTCTTTCCTGCCAGTGACTACAACAACAAGAGGAATGCCGGTAAGTGGCAGTAACACAGACGAGTCGATGTCCTGAGATTCCAATATTTCACCATGATATACTGCTGCAGAGAACTGGAGCACCTCATTGACGGCTACACCCAGAACCCTGACAATAACCTGCAGAATGAGTATGTTATCAGTAGAGTCAAGGATCTGCTTTACATTATGAGTAGGATGTCAGTAAAATCAAGGATCTGCTTTACATTATGAGTATGATGTCAGTAAAGTCAAGGATCTGCTTTAAATTATGAGTATGATGTCAGTAAAGTCAAGGATGTGCTTTACATTATGAGTATGATGTCAGTAAAGTCAAGGATCTGGATTTTGACAACAGTATAAGCATCGTCTATTAAGGGGTCACTACACGCCATTTGTTTCCAATTTATGACAAAAAACTCACTTTTTCAATGTGTTTATATTTGTAATGTTCGGCATTCATAGAATAGATTACACACAAAATGTGTGTCATTGGTAAACAGTTTAGCATTGAAAAGTTGATACTAAAGACACCAACCCATGCACTTTTTTAAGATAAAAAAAAAAGTTTAAAAGCCACTTTTCTAACAATTCTATTTTTCTGTTTGTTGTGTGTGTGGGATCTCCTAAAATCTCAGCTAATATAAAGACTAGAGGCGTGAAATTTGTTGTGGATACTTCTAACACAATATTATAGGGTCAGGTCTATTTGAAATTACAGTTTATTGAGTCATATTTGATTATTAAATGAAAAAGCAAAATTTTTGTATTTTTTTAACAAAGCAAAACTTTAATATTCTAAAAAAAAAATATTTAAAAACATCTTTGAAGAAAATAAACTAGACCTGACCTTAAACATAAGTTAAATGTTCATGAATCCATCACCTGTTTCTCACTACCTCTGTTTGTTTTTGAGATTTTAGCTGTCTAAGTACATGTTTTTTTCATCAAGATGGCGGCTGTTGCCATGGCAACAATGTTTTTTAAACTTGAAGTCTACAGATGTATCAACATACATCCCTACAAATGACCATTATAAAATAATTTGTCTAACATTGTAAGTAAAAAAAAAAAAATTTTTTCCTGTAGTGACCCCAAAGGCAAACTTCTAAATGCAAAATTAGCTGGTAGAATCATAAACATCCAACGAATGATGAGTTTAGTTTATGACGTCCAAATGATGTTTAAACTGCTCTATGTGGAGAAAAGTAAATGCACCAATCTAAAGCTCAACAGTCAGTTTTAAAATAATAATAATAATAATATTGATAACAACGCAGTTTTGTTTTGTAATACATTTATTGTGGTGCACAAGAAAAAAAAAACCCACCGTTATTCAATGTTCTCATGTACTAGATTTAATCCAGTGCTCAGACTGTTTTGTGTAACTGTACTTGAGTTAATCCAGTGCTCAGACTGTTTTGTGTAACTGTACTAGAGTTAATCCAGTGCTCAGACTGTTTTGTGTAACTGTACTAGAGTTAATCCAATGCTCAGACTGTTTTGTGTAACTGTACTAGAGTTAATCCAGTGCTCAGACTGTTTTGAGTAACTGTACTAGAGTTTATCCAGTGCTCAGACTGTTTTGAGTAACTGTACTAGAGTTTATCCAGTTCTCAGACTGTTTTGAGTAACTGTACTAGAGTTAATACAGTGCTCAGACTGTTTTGAGTAACTGTACTAGAGTTAATGCAGTGCTCAGACTGTTTTGAGTAACTGTACTAGAGTGAATCCAGTGCTCAGACTGTTTTGAGTAACTGTACTAAAGTTTATCCAGTGCTCAGACTGTTTTGAGTAACTGTACTAGAGTTGATCCAGTGCTCAGACTGTTTTGAGTAACTGTACTAGAGTTAATACAATGCTCAGAACGACTGACCTTATTTTCAATGTTGCACAAAGCACAACTCAAAAACTCCAGGGATCAAGGAAAAACTGCACCAGTGAACCCTCTGTCTTCAGAGTCGGTGGCAAAGAACTTGTATACTTCGCCAAAGGGATCCCCTATGAAAAGATTCTCTCCAAAGGCAGACTTAAGCAAAACATGTCAAACTAGACGCCATTTGGAAGCACAAAAATAACATCAGTACAAAACATACCTGGGCTTCTGCAAGTTCATGGCTGCTGAAATCTTCTGCTGATATCAACAAGATATAGCTGCGGGTTTTCCCTTTGTCTAGTTCTTCGGCGACATAGAGCTTGCCCTGTTATGTAATACGTAACATGGTCAACTATCAAAAGTACAAGTATAGAATAGCACCCATTTTCACACCCTTAGGCATATTGTGTATCTAGTGTTAGCGCAGTCGATAGAAGGTTCGCTTTCAAATCCAGCTGCAACTCGCTGCAGCCACGGTCGGTGTTCAAAACAGGGCGGATCCCGGGGTTCACCCAGCCTCTAGGAAATGGGTACCAGAGTTGACACTCTGGGGTAAATGGAGGAACGTCGCTGTAGCTACAGAGTTACGTGCGGATGGCGACACAGGCGGACAGTTTCTTATCAACTTTCCGTACTGGTAGCAGAACACTTATGGTTCATAACCGTATGCAATGACGCTGGTTCACATCTCCCGACTTTACCTTTACCTTTAGTGCTAGAACTGTATTTTAAAGACTACTCGGTGTTTATTGGGTGATGTCCCCGAGGAGAGGGCTGACCGAACGGTTACAACGCTGGGCTCCCAAGAGACCAGGATTTGAATCCTCGGTAAGGCTGTGGATTTTTTTCTGTGGAAGGGGGGGGGGGGAATAAAATCCTCACCTGCGCAGTCGTGGCGACAGCACTAGCCATGCAGCCGTAAATCATCAGGCTCAAAAATCCCTATGCCTACACCGCAAAAGTGGTTTCAAAAGAGGCAGTAATTGGTCGTTTTTCAATTGGCAGATGTTGTCAGCACTATGCCGGTCACCTTTACTTCCTAGAACTTTACCTGGTACCCATTTTAGGCGTGGTCGACCAGGAAGCCAAATTAATTTAAAAAAAAAAAATCCGACTCAATATGAATTTACAAAGGATTAGGCTAAGAAAAGAAGAATATGTTTAATGTTCAATTAGAAATCAACATTACAACACTCAGTACATTCTCATAAGTGCTCCATCTCCAGCTTTGACAGCAAACGTACGGTTCCAGTTCCGATGGTACCAGTAAGTGCCTTATATATATCCATCTCGCCTTTCCCTTAAGTGTTGATCATCGGCCAGATCCCCAGGTTACTCATCGCAGCACAATTCTCCTTACAACATCTAGCTTGTCGTACATAAATTCACCACCAAGTTGTGCAGAAGCAGCCAGTCTATCTGCTTGTTAATTTCGTTATAGACCTTCCTACCTAGAAGAAAATATCCAAAGGACACTAACTGCGTGAGACTTCTGAAGCGATGCTTGCCACTTTTCGCAGAGCACACTGTTCTCCGCGGCGACCGTGGCTAAGGCGTTGCGAGTCCGACTCGTAATCCAACGTTCCGCGATCGAAACCCACTGCGGGCTGCGTGGATTTTTATCGTGGTATGGGACGTCGCAGGTCGACCCAGCCTCAGATGGGTACCAGGATGGGCTGTCATGGGAAAGTAAAGACAGCCGGCGTAATGCTATTACCCACCGAGTGCTGATGGTCTGTAAAAATATGGGCGCTCTACCCATATGCCCGATACGCCTAAGGGCGTGAAAGGGATCTTTACTTTTTTTTTTACCTTTATACTGTTCTCCAGCTTTCTCAACATGCTCTGTGAGTGGGTTTACAATAAACAACAGGTGTGGACAGCTGGTTCTCATGCCAGCAGAAAAACATCCCAAACGGGACCCTTTTCATGCCAGCAGTGTGTGGAACATGCAATACCAAACTCATATTTGTGTAGAACAATAAGCGTCAATGGGTAATGAGGTCAACATCTCGCTGGCCGCCTTTACTTCCAGCACTTTATTTGTTGCTATTTTAGGCTGAGGTGACCTGGAAACCAAAGTCAGTACTGGAAACAAACAAAAAAAGTATGACTGCGGATTTGAACTCAAGGTATTTGGGCCGGCAAGCAAACGTTTAACTGCTATACCACTAGCACATCCATGCACGGCATTACATGGTACTACCTATAAGAATAATACACATGATACTATTAAAAAAGAATAACGCATATTATATTATGAAAAGGAATAATACACTTATGTTATTTAATGAAATAATAAATATTACATCATAGATAGTTGGGACACAAGGGTTCGATTCCTTGGTGAGGTTGGAGATTTGTTTCTGTCGTAGGAAAAACTAAAATCCTAACCTGGACAATGAATGGCAGCAGCACAAGTCATGTGACCCTAAATCATCAGGCTACAAGACCTACACCGCAGCAGTGGTAACTACGGGCACTTATATATTAACTGACTATGTTATTAAAACATCAAAACATAAGCATGGGGGCCAAGAAACATATTATAAACAGCATATTTATAAAAATACTGTGCTACCAGTGCCAGACATGTACATTTTAAAAGGCTAACCTACGTAAAAGTAACACCCGTGAAATGAGATGCCTGAGGAAAGCCGTCACATTAACCATCCGATACAACGTTAGAAATAATATTATCAGGCAACACCAGACAGCAAATTCATTGAGAAGCAGAAGCTCAAATGGTTTGGTTATTTAATAAGAATGCAGCCAGAACAACTACCAACGCAGGCGCTTTACATGAAAAGACCTAAAGTGAAAGCAAGAGGGCGGCCAAGGAGTAATGGACTGATGACATTAAAGAGCTGCTACATCGACACGAAATGGAAATAGCCAATGCTTCCAATCAAGAAACTGACCACAAACTATTCCTCCCCACAACGCGTATCGGCAGAAGTGGAAATTGATGATGATGATGAATGGCATTTTTTTTAGGTATTGTTAGATTCTTTGGCTTACGTAATTCTTATTTTCGTCTACGCGTGTGTCTATTTTCTGTTTATTGTCACTTGAAGCCTAGAGACTAAAACAGCTGATCTGATAAATGATGTAAAATATGTCAATGTCATGGAGGGTGGGGGGGGGGGGGGGGTTCAAATACGAAACGTTCTGGAGAGACTTTGAATAAACAGAGAATTCCTGATGGAAATAGAAAAGAGACACATGTAATACTTCTTCCATTTTAAAAGCCATAACACATATAAAATCATACTGGAGGGAAAAGACTTTGAATAACACAGAGATGACATAGAGATCCTGATGAGAAATAGAGAAAGAAAGACACACGTCCTAATATTTCTTCCATGGCACCCAGTGGCTGAAAAGCCATAACACATATAAAATCATACTGGAGGGAAAAGACAGACGAGTAAGAGACAGACAGTCCATACACAATGGGGAGGATGACATAAAGATGGATGAACAGCTGTCAGAGAGAGAGAGTGTACGTCCAGAAAGAAAGACAGTCACTTGCCGTTGCAGTCTTCGCACCCAATGGCATGATGTCATGAGAATAAATATATAAAATAGTTAATGAGTTATCACTTACAACGGCTTTTAGTGAAAATTCATTCCTTTTCTCGTAATCAAGAGGTTTGGAAAGTGTTAAATTTCCTGAATCCTTGTCTAAAGAAAAGTAACTTGATGAACCATTAGGCTGCAACCTAAAGCTTAACACTCCTGAAGATCCTGTATCCCGATCAGATGCATGCAAAGAACCAACTAGTTCTCCGACAGTCAAATTCTCCAGGACATAAAAGTGATAATCTGATACCGTGGCACTGCCGTTAGTAAAATATGGAGCACGGTTACTGTCTTTGACTTGTACTACTAGATTGCCAGAGCCCAGACGTGGAGGTACGCCATGATCAAACACATTTACCGTGATGTTGTATTCTGATTGCCGTTTGCGATCCAAAGAGCCACTGACTGTTATAGTCCCTGTGTTTGCGTCTATCACAAATTTTCCATCAGCTCCAGCAGACAAGAAAAATGAAAAACCATCATTTGAAACATCATCATCCTTAGCGTCAACTGCAGCAACAAACTGAGAAAGAAACAAGATACCATTATAGATATGATCAACAATTGTTCCCGCTTGTGATTTTTAATGAAAATAAAACGTATATTTATCACATGCACAACTTGCGAGCATTTAAATTTAGAGGAAATCGCTATACACATAAGAAATGGGATATTAGGCAAAGAGAGAGGCATGCTGGCCAGTTTATGACCACTGTGGAAATATTTGTAATGAAAGAATTGACTTCGTTACTGTGTACGCGAATTGACAGAATTCACTGAAAAAAAAAGGACAGAAAAGCAAGAAGCAGATAACGACAATACGCGAATTGACAGAGTTCACTGAAAAAAAGGGCAGAAAAGCAAGAAGAAGACAACGACAATATGCGAATTGACAGAATTCACTGAAAAAAAAGGGCAGAAAAGCAAGAAGCAGACAACGACACAAGTGGGAGGATAACATGAATAGGTAGATGAACATCAGTTTGATAGAGTTACATCCAGAGCGATACACAGAGCGTTATCAATCTAATAGGCTCCAACTCACCTAAAGGATTTAATGTGGAAAACAGCTTTTTTTTTCTAATAAAACATATTTTTTTTTTTCTTAGTTATGGCCCTTGCCTTCCATAACTTTTTTTTTCTGGCTAGTATTCATTTTGTGTATTCACACGTGTGTTCTGAGCTTTAACTGGCGAACCATGAGGATTTTTCTTGGAGACGCCTCAGTTAAGGGATTTTGCGTATTCTTGTCTGCAGTTGTAATATTGTCATGTCATGTTCCGATGAAAGCTTTATAGCCGCAAAGTTCACTTTTCGTTTGTGACAGTAACAATGCGAAGCTGAATAACTCTTTTTTTTTTTTATAAATTTGGTTTGATATAATTTCATTACAGAGTTAATTTTTGTGATTTATTATAAGTAGATGTATTTTCTGTAATATGTACACCACATCAAAGACTGGACCAAGTACAAAATAAGACAATGAGACTCATATTAAGCTGCACGAAAGTCACCTCCTGCAACCTGCAACGCCCTGCAATATGTATTGAGTTTGCCGACAAAGGCTAAAAGTCACAAAGTCGCTAAAAGACACAAGGTCCAGGCATACATAAAGTTATCGGCAGACGTTAACCACTCACTGCACAAAGCTTTTCACGACACAAAAAGAATGCGCCTCGAAAAAGGCCCCTCCTGAATGGTCAAGGCTGAAGGTTTAATCCAGCAAGTATGTGACCTAGACGAGATCAGTCACAGAGAAGAATGAATGAATACACCAGCACAAATGCAAGGCACCTCTAAGGTTGTCAGCGCGCTGGAAAGGTACTGCATGGATCAGATTTCTGCGGCCGTAGACACAGAGAAAAGGGCGCTGATAGATCAGCATTTACTTCCAGAAGACATCATCATCCACACAGATGGATCCGTAAACCCCCGTGTGGGTTCCGGGGCCCTATTGTGGGGAAAACAAGAATAGACCCACTGCCTCCCCAAAAGCATGTCGTAAGAGTCGACTAACTGGGGAGCTTCCTTTGAAGTCGGAGTGCATCTGCCTGAGAGGCAAGGAACCAGCAGTCTGCATTCAATTGAATCAGATCTGTAAAACTGATGCACACGCAACACTCAGGTTCTGGAACAGGACTGCAGTCCAGAAGTGGACGAACAACCAGAACTTTACACCAGAGTTTACAGCTGGTGAACGCGAAGAAGAAGAAGAAAGGATCCGTAAAGCGTGTATCAAGACCAGCATGAACATACACAGCACAAAGGATGGGAAAAACAATACAAGAGGACAGCGGCGCTTACCAGGCAACTTCGTCAAACAAGACCATAGGGATGGCTACTAGAGCACTAGCATGAGCATCAGAGCAAACAGCCACAACTGCAGTAATTGTATCAGACTCCATGAACATGCTTCAGAAGATAGCAACAGGTAGTATGGGCTCTGAATGGGTACAAAGCCTTCGACAGTCGCACTTAACATCCCTTACCTGGATCTACACACCTGGTCATGTTGGTGTAAAGAGTAATGAACAAACATACAAATCTGTCACGTGACACAAAAAATATTCCAGCAAGTGGTAACTGCTAATATGGATTGGTTCAAATTAGGCAAAACAGTATAGAGACACACAACAGCAGAGATTAAAGAATACAGTTAACACTTTTAGTCTCAGATTTCCAAACATGTGAGCAGGGATAGCAATAAATGCAAGGCAATGAGGAATACGTGCTTGCCCAATGCTGTCTCATAACAGATATAGTATAGCTTGTTAAAATAAGCGACAAGGTTTCTAAGTATATTCAGACCAAACAACAAACCACATAATGTTGCTTGGTTCACAAAAACAATAGCTGATCACACAAGCTGTTTGGGACTTGAGAAAATCCCAATACATAGGAATCATGGTGCCATAGTCATATTTGAATAAAGTAACTATTTAAATATTTCAGCAGTAATCGTTGGTTAACTGTTTAGTTACACTGTATTTCAGTGTTATGTTTAAATATGTAGTAAAGAGACTGTTGGTAAGTTATGGTAAGTATTATTTAATGTAAACAAACAAAAACAGAAGGCATGGTACCAGGAAGGAGGGGCAGGGACCGATAAACACGAAGGTTGGCACAGAATAAAACTGACTCCTTGAATATGAAAAAGTACACAAAGCGGGAGATATGGCGATAGACCAAGTCTCATTCAGACTGATTGTTGTGAAAGAAACGTTCTGCAAAGGACTTGCTACATAATGATGATAAATATTTAATGTTATATTTCATTGAATGGCTGGATAACTCATGTTTTACTGATATTTTTTTCTAAAAAGTGCTCTCATCTCTCAGTCAGTGTCTGTGGCTTAGGTGTTGCAAGGGCGCTACGTAATTCTGGGGTGCCAGGTTCGATCCCAGTTGCTGGCGATTTTTTTGTCGACCACCAATCATGTTTGGACAGTGGTATCTAGAGACAGTAAGCAATGGTCAGCTACTGAACATAACACTGTTTTGAGAAATCTCCAACAATGCTGGGGTTGGTTTTGCAATATTCTGTAAAGGACAAGCAATCAGCGTTTCTTAGTCTCCCAAACATCAGTATAAAGATAACTATTCTCACTTCTGCAATACCTGTGTTCTCTGGTACAAAAAGATAACTATTCTCACTTCTGCAATACCTATGTTCTCTGGTACAAAAAGATAACTATTCTCACTTCTGCAATACATATGTTCTCTGGTACAAAAAGATAACTATACTCACTTCTGCAATACTCATGTTATCTGGTACAAAAAGATAACTATAATCACTTCTGCAATACCTATGTTCTCTGGTACAAAAAGATAACTATACTCACTTCTGCAATACCTATGTTCTCTGGTACAAAAAGATAACTATACTGACTTCTGCAGTAACTATGTTCTCTGGTACAAAAAGATAACTGTACTCACTTCTGCAATACCTATGTTCTCTGGTAGTTGAACGAATCCCTGACCAGTGATATTCAACACAGGAGCAAACTCGTTAACGTCAGTTATGTTGACAATGACATGAGCGCTGTCGCTACCATGTCTGTCGGACACCGAGACATCTGTGTTATAAAAACAAACAAAAAACAAAGATGTTTTCAAACAACTTATGAGTTAGGCACGCGATGTCAGATCCATATGTTTAGAAGCCAGTCGGCACTAGATGAGTCACTTAATCAACATCACGTCGGCTGCATTTACTTCCCATAAAATTTTCATATACATGTTATCTGACTGTTAGTCCGAGTCAATCTGGGAACCCATTTTATTTACAAAATACGTCTGCTCCTCATCATTATTATAATCCATCAACACTGGACTACAGGTCAGTTTGTAACCAAAGACCCTTTTTCATGTCTTCAGGTGTATTTGGCATATAGGGCTAGGTCTATAATTTATAGACTAATTGGCACTTGGTAAGTGATGTGACCAGCATCACACCGACTGCTTTTACTTCCCACGACTGCTCCTGGTGCACACTCACGACTTGGACGACCTGGGATACAAGAACATTTTTGAAAAAAAAAAATCTGGATCCGAAAGGACCCAAACCCACTACCTTCCGATCTCCAGGTGAGCGTCTACCCGCTACACCAAGGCGGCTTCCTAATCGTTTTGTAGTGCCCCAATCTGTGTGCTATGTATACACCTATACGGTAGAACAGGGTTTACGGCATTTGTAGCGATTTGATTCTCATCTTTGAGATGTAATTCCACATAATGCGGATCTAGAAGGGTTTTAATCCCACATAATGCGGATCTAGAGGGGTTTTAATCCTACATAATGCGGATCTAGAGGGGTTTTAATCCTACATAATGCGGATCTAGAGGGGTTTTAATCCCACAGAATGCGGATCTAGAAGGGTTTTAATCCCACAGAATGCGGATCTAGAAGGGTTTTAATCCCACAGAATGCGGATCTAGAAGGGTTTTAATCCCACAGAATGCGGATCTAGAAGGGTTTTAATCCCACAGAATGCGGATCTAGAAGGGTTTTAATCCCACATAATGCGGATCTAGAAGGGTTTTAATCCCACAGAATGCGGATTTAGAGGGATTTTAATCCCACATAAAGCGAATCTCGAGGGGTTTTAATCCCACATAATGCGGATCTAGAAGGGTTTTAATCCCACATAATGCGGATCTAGAAGGGTTTTAATCCCACAGAATGCGGATCTAGAAGGGTTTTAATCCCACAGAATGCGGATCTAGAAGGGTTTTAATCCCACATAATGCGGATCTAGAAGGGTTTTAATCCCACAGAATGCGGATTTAGAGGGATTTTAATCCCACATAATGCGAATCTCGAGGGGTTTTAATCCCACATAATGCGGATCTAGAGGGGTTTCGATCACACAGTCCTTGTATTTTATACTCACTAAGTAAAGCACTAGTTTCCATGTCTTGATAGGACTAATGGCCACCGTCTTGTGATTAACAGTGCAGCAGCCATCTTTAGGTTTTTTGGAAATAATAGTGTGTTAATGAGTTTTACTAATGAGTTTATATATATATATATATATATATTAGAAAGGGGAGGACAGTTTCACGAAAGTAGTTTTTCGGTGATCCTTAGTGGTCATCGCTAAAGTGATCCTGCTTTATGCCACGCTTCCAGCGAGCTAAACTGCTCTGCTAAAAAAAAAAAAACAAAAAAAAACCAACTAGTAGGATTTGAAAAGATGCATTGCAGTGAAGTCTTTTATCACTCTTTTTGCCTATCTAAATATGACAGTCTTATCCTACGCCCGAAAGATCCTTTAAGGCAACTTCTAACACATGAGCCTACTTCATAGCCCTGCTTCTAAAGCACAGATCCTCAAAAAAAAAAAAAAAAAGCCCAACTGCTCCTTGGGTATGCTGTAACTCTCCAGGAGGCGATAGTGGCAACGGGTGTAATTCAGGCGCTTGGAGAATATCTCTGGAACAATCCGGAGGGTGGGGAAAGGTGGTAGTAACTTCGGGAACATATGGAAAGTGGGAAAGGGGAGTGACTAAAATAAGGGGTGCTGGAACAATCCAGGAGGTGGTAGTAGCCACTGATTTACTTAAGGC